TGACGGCGTGTGTGTGTGTGTGTGTGTGTGTGTGTGTGTGTGTGTGTGTGTGTGTGTGTGTGTGTGTGTGTGTGTGTGTGTGTGTGTGTGTGCGCTCACCTAGATGTGGTTGCAGGATTGAGCCTTAGCTCTTAAACACCATTTTTCGAGCATTAACAATTTAATGCAGTAAGACCATCATATCATACTTTTAAATTGTTAATTTCATCTAATGCATTCCAGTTACTTTTGAGGCGTGGGCGGTGGCGTGGGCGGTGGCGTGGGCGGCGGCGTTTGTGGGAAAGTGGGAAGGCATCTTACGGTAGCAGAGGAGTCAAGGCCGAATTTACATGGCAATATTCCCCCTTATCTCCTTCCTCTATTAGCACCCCCATCATCCACCTCACCTCCTCCTACCTGTAAGTCATGTGCTAGAGCTGGTTCCTGCCAGTCACTTGTGTGTTGTGTCACCAGCTGCTGCTGCTGCTGCTGCTCATGGTGTCGGCTTTTACTGCTGCTGCTGCTGATGTTGTCGGCTTTTACTGCTGCTGCTGATGTTGTCGGCTTTTACTGCTGCTGCTGATGTTGTCGGCTTTTACTGCTGCTGCTGCTGATGTTGTCGGCTTTTACTGCTGCTGCTGCTGCTGCTGTCACCCCCTTCTACTGCTCCGCTGTTGTTGCGTCTCCTCTTAATGTTGTTGACTGATGAAGTCACCACAAGAGGTGACACGGGCATGAGTAGCCCCGTAGGTGGTAGATGTTTTGGAGTGATTGTGGTGTTTGGTGGTGGTGTAACATCTTCAAGTGTGTCGTCTGGGAGCTGTGAGTGCTCATGTGTGGCTTGTCTACTGCTGCTGCCTCTACTGTTGAGCATATTTATGCTGCCATTGGTAAGGCATCAGCTGGTGCTGTTCTCGGAATTATCTGCTGATCGCGTTTTATTTTTTAGTTGAAGTCATCCACGATTGTGACGTATTGTTGATGAGCATGGACAGGTCACTTTGCGCATGCGCAGGTCAGTATTGACCTGCGCGCAGGAAGCAGTATGACCGGGTCTAGCCCGTCTATCTCCACACACACGTGGTGGGACGTGCAATAAAGAGGTTAATGATAATAACGTGCGTACGAAGGTTCGGTTTCATCTGCGCAGGTCAGGAGAGAACACGTTTGCCTTGAGTGGGGGGGGGGGTTGGTGGGGTGGGGTGTTGGTGGTGTTGGTGGGGGTGGGGGGGGAGTGTAGTGTGGGGGGGGGGGGGGGGGGGGGTTGCTGGAGTGGGGGTGTGTGGTGTTGGTGGGGAGGGGGAGGAGTGTCTTGTTGATGGGGAGGTGTGGTTTTTGGGTGGGCGGGGGGGGGGGGGGGGAGGGCCAAAAGTCAACAAGCATTTACTTACGAAACCTGTACATCTGTCAACAATCATGGCGGCTCTGTTTACATTTATTAAACAATTTACGAACATCTAAACTTCCCAATCAAATGTTGTTATTGTTATAAACAGCCTCCTGGTGCTTCGGGGCTCATAGACTGGTTAATATATGTAAACAAAGCCGTCGAAGATTGAGAAAAGATGTACAGGTTTCGTAAGTACATGCGTGTTGAATCCTGGCCCTGGTTTACAACCAGTCCTCGTGCTAGGCTCGTCCAAGCGGCAACCCCACCCCCACCTCTCCATGACCAATTCATAAATTTTAACCTACTGTGTATTCAAAATATGAATTTTCTCAAATATAAATTAATATTATTAATATTAGTTAATTAATATTAACTTAGTGCATAGTTAGGTTAGGTTAGCGGTTTAGGTTCTACTGGCAAATACAAATAATTAGCCTAAACACCTAACTTAATCTAATTAATATCTAACTATACACTAAATTCTAATATATAATGTTAACATATATGAGAAAAATACCGATTTTGAAGTACGATAAAGTTTATGTATATATGGTTAGGGACGGCGGGTATACATTCAAGCTGAAGACGGCTGCAGCTCCCAGCTTGGGTACGGAACTACCATGCAAGTACCGTGAATTGACAAAAAAAAGATTGAATGACTTCACTTTTGCCAATTAACGCGCGTGATCGTGCAATAAACAGCGATCATTCTCTAACCCATCATACTGCGCATCATCCTGCAGGAGGATGTCTCGTTACACGCCCACACACCCGCTACACCCACACCCTCTACACCCACACACACACACACTAGGTTGAGGACGGTTGAGAGGCGGGACCAAAGAGCCAGAGCTCAACCCCCGCAAACACAACTAGGTGAGTACACACACACACACACACACACACACACACACACACACACACACACACACACACACACACACACCCACCCACACACACATACACACACACACACCACACACACACACACACACACACACACACACACACACACACACACACACACACACACACACACACACCCAACAACGCACGTATATAATTCCCTCCCCCCTATTCCCCCCCCCCTCCCCACACTCATAAATCTACCCACTCACCCCCCCCTGTGTCCATGCACTGCCTCTTACTCGCTATTTACTCACATACTCAGCCTCTCACTCCCTATTTATTCAGCCACTCACCAACTGATGCACAGACTCGTACGATGATGAGGTCAAGAGACCATTGTGAGTGAGTGATGGGTAACTTGTGACCCGTGTTGGTCTTACCTATCACCACTCAGCTGTTAGTGCTGACTTTTCAACACTTACCTATTGATACTTATCAATTAATTCTTACCTATTACCACTTAGGCTACTAATGTTTACCTATTAGCGGTTACCGTTAAACATTTACCTATTAATGCTGCGCTATTGGGGCTTATCTCGAGTAAACTGACGTGTATGAATATTTTAGGATATTTTCCCCTTCTCTATCCTTCCCTTCCTTATCCACCCTCCCTATATCCTTCTCTCCATCCACACTATCCTTATCCATCTCTCTCTCTCCCTCCACACTCCCTCCTTCGCCCCTCAACATCCTTCATCTATCCCTCTCACACTCCAGCTTTCAGTCCACACCATCCCCTCTCTCCCTCCCTACACACCTTGCCTAACACCCCCTCCATCTACCCTCACACCACCTGAGACTTCCCCACACCACACTGATCTAGCACAACACGACCTTAGAGAGAGAGAGAGAGAGAGAGAGAGAGAGAGAGAGAGAGAGAGAGAGAGAGAGAGAGAGAGAGAGAGAGAGAGAGAGAGAGACTGTATGCTGCACTTCTGTGAGAAGATTAAGCACAGACAGACAGAGTGAGAGTATGTCCATGTAGTGTGAAATACTTGACACCTTGACACCTGAGTTTGACAACAAACTTGACACCCGGTTGAGAGTGGTAATCGGTGACCTGCTTAAACCGACTTGTCCCCCATGGAGGAAATGCACTATAGAGGCATCCTGGGCCGTGGCCCTCACACACATGGCTACGGGATGCCCGCCCTTGTCGCCACACCTCCGCTCCAAGCATGAAATCGCATGTCGACTGCCCTCCTTTTGGTATGGGGGCTGGGGTAAAGGAATCAATCACCGGGATGATTTGTTGCTGGGTGCTAGGGCCTGTCACAGTGTTGCTGGGTGCTAGGGCCTGTTACAGTGTTGCTGGGTGCTAGGGCCTGTCACAGTGTTGCTGGGTGCTAGGGCCTGTCACAGTGTTGCTGGGTGCTAGGGCCTGTTACAGTGTTGCTGGGTGCTAGGGCCTGTCACAGTGTTGCTGGGTGCTAGGGCCTGTCACAGTGTTGCTGGGTGCTAGGGCCTGTCACAGTGTTGCTGGGTGCTAGGGCCTGTCACAGTGTTGCTGGACACTAAGTCCTGTTACAGTGTTGCTGGGTGCTAGGTTCTGTTACAGTGTTGCTGGGCACTAGGTCCTCTCAGTTAGTGTTGCTGGGCACTAAGTCCTGTCACAGGACCTAGTGTCAAAGTCAATATATGTATATATACGATATCAGTACTCTGCACGTTCTCTTGATCTGTGAAGTCATACACAAGACAACAATTTACGAGCCCAGGCAGCCAGCCTATCACAGGTGGGCACAGAGAACGTTAATATTACAGTGATGTAATTTTGAGTAATAAGTCGCATTTTAATGGATCGGCCATTTGTGTAGAAATTGCGACGACGTATGATATGAGAACAGGAGTAGCAAAAACACCAGAAACACTTCTCTCTCTCTCTCTCCCTCACACACACACACACACACACACACACACACACACACACACACACACACACACACACACACACACACACACACACACACACACACACACACTCACTCACACACACACACCAGAAGCCCTCGTTACCTTCAGGTATACTAACCTCATTTTTAAATAAGAGGGGGGAGGTTTGGTGTTGGGAGGGGGGGCGGGGAGAGAGGAGCAACAGGTGCAGAGGCTTGGGGACTCGTTGCAGGTTTGGGTCTGGGAGTCAGTATATCTAATAGTTCCCATTGCCAGTTAACAGTTGGTTAACTTCCGGGTACCTATTTGTTGCTAGGTGAACGGAGGTATTAAGTGAAAGGAAACGTTCCCAACCATTTCTGTCCCGTCTGGGAATCGAACCCAGGATCCCTAATTACGAGTCGAGAACAAATTAGCCAACTGTACAACGAGACTTGGAGTGCACCTCGCCATGAGTGGACACGAGGTTCGTTCACCGACTTACAGCTTCGGCAGGAAGCACATACAAGACTGAGTAGAGGCAGTAGTGAGTTGGGGAGGCAGTAGTGAGTTGGGGGGGGAGGGATATGGGGAAGGGGAGGGATGTGGGGAATGAGGGGGATGTGGGGAATGGGGGGGGGGAGAGGTGTAGCACTATTACCTGGTAGTGAGCGTCAGCTGGATAAGTGAAAGTGGTCACCCATGCTCGCCCTTCTCTCCCCCCTTATCCCTCCCGCTCCCCCCCCCCCTCCCCCCTCACAGTGTTACGTGCCGGGTTAAGACAATAAAATGTGGCCACAATATTCTTTATGGACACAAAAGAACATGGCCGGCGCCCGGAGGTCACCTGCTCCCGCTGTAGCCTCTGCCCGCTCTCACGATTTCACAAACACAAAATTTTAAGTACTTTCGAACCCTGGCAACCCACCTAACCTATCGATACCGATAGTCATTGATTCGAAGAAGCTTTTAATTTCACTCTAGTACCGGAATTTTGACGCTGTGATCGATAAGAGTAAAAAAAATGTGTTGCAATTATTGTGAGTAGAACTTGGAAGCCTAGTCCCGCTGGCCAGTGCTGAATTACGGCGGCTTCTCGCTGGACCTCCGGGCGTGGATAAGAATCAAATAATTGACGAGGTGAAGAACTCGATCTCTGAACAATTTTTTTTGTTATATTACAATTAACTACAAATATGATAACATTCTTATGATTTTCTTTCAGCTACTGTATTCCTGACTATCTATATGTAAAATAAATGCAAGTTTTTGGCATCTTTTTGAAGTCATACTGGTACCTAATAGGACCCAGCGTCATGATTTCGGGAGTCGGATGAGGTGGGGGTATGGGAGACATGTTGGGTATTGAGGTGTGCAATGATAGAAATGTTGAGTTCCCTTGAGTGCAATAGGCTATGGTGTATATTGCCACAACTTGCTGGCTTCTCTTGACTAACAATAATTTACAATTAAGAATATTTATCTTAAGGTGAGGTAGGATTACTTGTGTGTGGTTTTTAATGTGTCCTAAAGAATTAGATCAGTGATTCTAACACTCATCTTCTGTATATTCTTAGGTTCTTCACTCTCCAAAGTTCATTTCGCAATTTGGACTGACGTAAAAGATGCGTTTCGTTGAAGCTCTCAACATCTTCGAAGGCAGAAGGTAAGTGGATACAAGTTAGCTGATTGATTGATAAAGACTAAGTCACCCAAAAGGTGGCACGGGCATGAATAGCCCGGAAGTGGAGGTGGAGGCTCTTTGGAACCATTACAGGTACCAGTAGCTGAGACTGGAGATCTGTGCAGATGATTATTGATGGATAAAGATCAAGTTAGCTGATGATTGATGAAGATTAAGCCATCCAAGAGAAAAGTTGGCTGTTGTTGTTTGAGATTCAGTTACTCGGAACGAGATCTCCATGTAGCACGGGCTATGGTGAGCCTGTAATTGACTGTAAAAGTTGGCTGACGCACCAATATCTATATAACCAAGGAAGATGAGGTGATATTGGGTGTTGCCCAGTCGATGTTGGGTGGAGGGTGGCATGTGAAGATGGCCCTCCAGCACGCTTGCAGAGCACTGCTCTTAAGTGCTGCTCTCTTCTCTCTCTCTCTCTGTCTCTCTCTCTCTCTCTCTCTCTCTCTCTCTCTCTCTCTCTCTCTCTCTCTCTCTCTTCACCTATATAGTTGTTAAAATATAAGATACGTCAGTGTACTCTATTTTTGTGTCTTGAGGTGCAAGGCAGCTGAGGCTGCGACTGTCACTAGCCTACGAATTTGACGCAAATAATTATTCAACCAGTTTTATAAAAGAAAACAAGGCAATGCAGATTAATTGGGTCCAGAAAATAGAAGAGAAAGATAAAGAAAAAAAGAATATGAAAAAGGTAATCATAAAAATAACAATAATTATTATTAAGAAGAGAAAATAGAAAACAAAAAAAGCTCTAACTTCAGAAAACAATGGGAAAAAGAATCAGTAGAAACCTGAATACGTGTACATTAAAGAGGTATTTGCCAGGGGGTTGGAGGTAACCGCTGTAGTAGAGCCCTAGAGGGACTTGCACAATACCACATGGGGTGGAGTGGGGGGGGGGAGTCACGGGCGCCCACATGATGCATCATAACACAGTAACAGTCTGCTGTATCGAGAGAGTGCGTCACCTTGATCTTGAAAATGTATCACTCCGGTGAACTTATGTACAGGTGTGTAAACTTGTCGCAGTTGCTTGTGATATTGGTGAAGAGGGTCTCGCGAGATTGAGCCATGTCAGAGGTTAATACAAGCAGCTGGCCCTCGGTACTGGAGGCGTCAGGTGCCTGAGTGAGAGACCAAACGCTCGGCGTTGGAAGAAAGACTAGTCAGATAGCATATGTTTAAGGATATAATGTTTAAAATGTTTAGGGAAACTGACAAGGTTGACATATATATATATATATATATATATATATATATATATGTGTGTGTGTGTGTGTGTGTAGTAAATATGGTAGAGAAAATAGGTTAGGGGTCAGTACATTAAACAACCGATGGTTAGATAGGCGGAGGCCCAAGAGCTAACAGCTAGTTCCTGCGGGTATACACACACACACACACACACACACACACACACACACACACACACACACACACACACACACACACACACACACACACACACACACAAAGGGTAGATATGATAGAGCCCAATAGGCTCAGGAACTTGTAAAGCAGTTGATTGGATGTTGAGAGGACCAAAGAGCGGAAGCTCAATTAAGCACAACTAGGTGAGGAGAACTAGGTGAGACTCGAATACAACTAGGTAAGAACACTTAGTCGGCAGAAGTAGAGTAGCAGTATGTGGCTTATAGAGTTCAACCCCAGCAATTGCGACATTATGAAACAGGGTGTCAGAACAAGAAGACTGGGAAGACTGCCACCTTGGAGGGGAACAACTTCGGGTCTTTAAGACACGGACCTGGAAGTGTGCATCACACCGAGGCTGTCTTCCGGACTACAGCACAACAGTCACGTAACATCAGCGGCACACGCAAGATTGGCCAGCATTAAGAGTCGTACAGGATGCTGTACACCACATTAGTAAGACCCATTCTTGAGTCGGCAGTACCAGCATAGAGGCCTAACCTGCCCAAGTACATACAAATAATAATAATACACAGAGAGTGATCACAATAACGTGACTGCATCAATGAGAACATTCGTAGGAGTCGTAGATAATCTCATTGATGCAGTCACGTTAGTGGAGTTACTCTCTGTGTATTGAAAGAGGAGCGTCAGAGGTAGAACAAGTCCTAGATGACAGGGCCAGAGTACACGGGGGGGGGGGGAATTGTGTGAAAATCCTGGTCTGGCTTCAGTAAATGCCTCAGAAAATCCTTGTGTGGTCAGAAGAACTCCCAAGTTACAATCCTTATACCATGTTGTGGTGTAGTGGCTAGAAGCGTGTGCGTGGGAACACCCACCGCATAGGTTCGAACCCTCATCACGGACGGCTCCTACGGATTTTCTCAATAATAATAGTAATGATAATAACAATAATAACGTTCAGAAGTTTATTGCGAGATTGGTCCGAGAGGTGAGAAGCAGGAGTTACGAGGGCAGGCTGGCCGACATTGACCTCACGATGTTGGAGCCGCGCAGAACAAGATGAATAATCCTGACCTACAAAGTTTCACATGATGCAGATAGTGTGGACAAGGACAGATTACTCAATACGAAAGAGACGAGGACCATCTGATAAAAGATGAAAGGAGAAAACGCGGATAATCGAGAGAGGTTATCAGCAAGTTTTTCAGTGGTGGAGTGTGTAGTATAGGCCTGAAAGGAAGCAGAAAAGAGAAATAGTTAAGGCCCAGGAGCTGGAGCTTAACCCTCCAGTATACTTATCACCAGTATGATAAAATTTTCCTTATTACCCTTATCATTTCTTCGTCATGGTGTGTAGACTGATTTTATAAATATGCTTAATGACAAATGTTGTGCTGCACCGGAAGTTAAGGGTTGAAGCGACTGCGCTCCCTAACACGCTACAAGCAACAACAGCTGCCTTGTCACGTGCTCTTGTAGACAAGCTCTCACACACACACACACACACACACACACACACACTGAACTTTTTCAGTGTCAAGAGTAGTTAACGGATGGAATGCATTAGGCAGTGATGTGGTGGAGGCTGACTCCATACACAGTTTCAAATGTAGATATGATTGAGCCCAGTAGGCTCAGGAACCTGTACACCAGTTGATTGACAGTTGAGCGGCGGGACCAAAGAGCCAAAGCTCAACCCCCGCAAGCACAAATAGGTGAGTACACTGCATATATCCGTGCGAGGCTGACGGTTGTTCCCTATGAACGATGTCTGACACACATCAGACGAGAATCTTGGTGAACAGATAATTCTGGCGACTTGAGACATGGCCAAGTGAGCTGTACCAGGCCAGGAGCAGTGCTGTCACCACCCACAGACTCTACCTTCCCCCCAACAAAACCCGGTAGACCTTGGCGTCGGCCGCCGGCTTGTTGACTCACCACCGCACACTGCAGCGACCTCCTGCTTGCATGCAACAACACTCAATGCAACACAGAACTATTGTGGTGCGCACATTGCCAGAAACGCTGCAACCTAGACACCTGGAGCGGCAATACAGGACTATTAAATCACTCACAAGAGCACGACAATATATCTTAAAACTAGATATTGGTTATAGGGTATTCCTCGTCGGGTAAGTGTAGTGAAGCTGAATTGAGGTAAAAAGCGAAGTAGGAATGAGAGAGTAAGGGCGCTCTCCTGGCGGGTCCGCAGGGGCAGGGGTATAAGCAGGTAGGCGGCTTACCTGGTGGGGTGAGTGTGCGAACTGACGAGACGGGCTATCATCACCACTGTTGAACACACACTGAGTCTCCAGGCGCTTGCTCCGCGCCCTGGCTCACTCTCTCCCTCCCCACACTCTACCCCTCTCTCACACTCTCTCCCCTCCCCGCCCCCCTCTCTCTCTCTCTCACACTCTCTCCCCTCCCCCCCCCCTCTCTCTCTCTCTCTCTCTCTCTCTCTCTCTCTCTCTGTAACTCTGGAAAAGTAAGAGCTGTTCTATATGAGTTCTTCTGTAACCACGTTAATTTATAAGTTGAAGCGCACAATAACCTACCCCTTACAGAGGATGAGTATGGGGTGAACAATAAACTACCCCTTACAGGATGAGTATGGGGAGCACAATAAACTACCCCTTACAGGATGAGTATGGGGTGAACAATAAACTACCCCTTACAGGATGAGTATGGGGAGCACAATAAACTACCCCTTACAGGATGAGTATGGGGTGAACAATAAACTACCCCTTACAGGATGAGTATGGGGAGCACAATAAACTACCCCTTACAGGATGAGTATGGGATGCACAATAAACTACCCCCTTACAGGATGAGTATACTCAGTAGACAAAATATTGAAATCCTTGCGAGGCAGGATCAGGTATAACATTTGGGGTTTACGGCTCATGTTCGGTGATATGGAAAATTTGTTTACTGAGAATTATATAAAATATATATAAATGTAATAATTTCCCCTGTAAATTAATGTAAATATAATCTCCATTTTTTGTAAATCATTTAAAGAAAAATAAGTATAACATTCAGGGGTTTTAAAGATCATGTTCTGTGATAATGAAACACTTGTTCACTGAGAATTATAATGTAGTATTGCCTTGTAAAACTTATGTATATATGATTTATATTGTATTTTCTTAAAGATAAAAAAGCATGGGGTGCACAATAAACAAGGCGCCAGACCAATAATCAAAATAAAATCTCAGGAAAATTTTGCCTGTGGGTTTAAGTATATATCAAGCGAAGCCTCTCTTGCGTGCTCCAATAATTCCCCAGAGTAACTGGTAGTGAACCAGCTCGTTCTCTCGATTTGACTCTCCGTAAAAATTACAACCGTTCATCCTAACCAGAAACGCACGTACCCAAGCAACTCTCTTAACATATCGAATCCGATGCATAGAAAATGTTATTATTTGTCAGCCGTTACTGAACGCGTTGCATTTGTAACGTTGGTTACGAATAAACAATAAGACCTATTGAGAGGACGGGATGGTTGCTCATGCATTCGAAATCCTCGTTAGTAATTGATGTTTATTTCCCTCTCGTGATGGAAGCGTAGTTTGTGTTAAAGTGGCCACCAGAGGCTTCCCGGGAGGATAGCCTAGGGGGATGTCCCACTCTGGATATCCTGGGGAGTGTTGACCTGAATGTCCCACTCTGGATATCCTGGGAAGTGTTGATCGGGCTGTCGACTTAAGCAGGACCATGGTAACATGATCCTGCTCTGGCAATATACAACGAGGAGACAAGTGTGTACATTTCCCTCTGGCAAGAGGGAAATGTTGATGCTCTCCTCTGTTGATGTTTGCGAAGCATTTATATACCTCTTAGTAAACAACAGCGTCGTGGATCTCAACATAAGTTGCGGATATATTGCTTGTGTTGCTTGTCATTTGTCAGTTGAAATTGCACTGGCACGGATAGGTTCAGTCACGCACGCGCGCACTCTAGAGAGCGCACGCGCGCACTCTAGAGAGCGCACGCACACACAAATCCACGGACGCAAGTATACACACACGATCGACGATTTCACAATGAAAGATCAACGAGATCTTCACGAAAGAGCAACGAGGTTATAATGAAAGACCAACGAGATATCAGTGAAAGTCCAACGAGGTCTTGATGAAAGACCAACGAGATATCAATGAAAGGCCAACGAGGTTTCCCTGAAAGACCAACAAGATCTCAATGAACGTTGAGCAAGAACACTAGCGAGAAGGAATGGCTCCTTCCTGTGAGAGGCTCCAAGTGGCATACCTTAAGGAGGGGTGCCTCGCCTCTTGTGTTTATTGTGTCCATAAATTAATATTTGGCTGATGAAATATTAAACCGTATGACTTGATGAGTCGGGTCCAGCCTGACTTGATGAGTCGGGTCCAGCCTGACTTGATGAGTCGGGTCCAGCCTGACTTGATGAGTCGGGTCCAGCCTGACTTGATGAGTCGGGTCCAGCCTGACTTGATGAGTCGGGTCCAGCCTGACTTGATGAGTCGGGTCCAGCCTGACTTGATGAGTCGGGTCCAGCCTGACTTGATGAGCCGGATCCAAGCCTGACTTGATGAGCCAGGTCCAGCATAAATTGCAAGTTGTACTTTATAAGTTACATGTTTACTTTCATCAATTGCAATACATATGCAGTCTTCACACTCTCTTCGATCTGTGGGTTAAAGGTAAATCACATATCCGTGGATGAGGATAAAACTACCATATATCCTAATGGGCAGGAAACTTGTTCGAAAATATACACTGTAAAAAACATCCAGAATAGGGGGATAATATGTAAAGAAATGAAATATAAGACATGAAAATATAACTTTAAAATCACAATAATACCTAATTAGCGTTGATAATCTTCCTAATGACAGTAATTGAAGCACATAGAGTTACGCAACGAGAGGGTCCAGAGGGTCTGCTGACGTGGGGAGGCTCTCTAAACCCCAGCTTTCAAGTAGCGACGTCATATCCTCCTAAAACAAAATATTCAGTCACCATTAATAATTTTAGAGTTAAGACAATATCGCGCGAAAATAAAGTATCTTTCGCAACGAAGGTAATTTGGAGTAGGAGGAAAGGAACAAGAAAAATGTCCTCCATGACCAAAGTCGGAGGCAGAGACGCGGACGCGGCAGACCCGGCCCCGAGAGACCAGTGAGGCGGGAGTACCAACGGCAGGTGACGGTTCTTCTGGACGTTATTCACAGGTACTCCAAGCACATGCCGAATGGCTCTCGTCACATTATTTAATTGCTGGCGTTGATGACTCTTTAGCACTAACATAGATGCCTATAAAAAAACAGCATCCAGATATATATATATATATATATATATATGTGATGTGTGTGTGTGTAAATCACGAAAAATAAACACGTGATTAAAATAATGTGACAGTGTCAGACCACGGAGGAAAATTGAAAGAGGAATTTCCTTAAGTATTTTCGTATATTAATACCTCTTCAGAAGGAGTGGTTTTATAGGTCTTTCTATTTTCCTCCGTGGTCTGACACTGTCATCCATATATATATATATATATATATATATATATATATATATATATATATATATATATATATATATATATATATATATATATATATATATATATAGTGACGGTAACGCGTTGGTGTTCGGCTGTTTAAGGCTAGGGGTATGGCCTCGTCACATAGTTATAAAAAAAAATAGAAAAACTGGAACTTCGTCTGTGGTAAGGTAAGGAGAAGACACACAAAACACAAGTAAACTTTAACAATGAAATTTTAATTACGTTAAATAAATCAAAACATGAAAAAATGGACAAACAAATTCGTATAATAAAATCAATCAATCAAAATAATAAGAATAATTAAATGACACAATGAAAAGTTACGTTAAGACAAAATAACAAGAAGTGCAATACAAAAATAAAGGAAGGTGCTGGAATATTGGCTTTAAGCTACCACCTCTCTCAGTATACGCTAACGTCTAGCCGGGAGGAGTGGTAACCGCGGAAGCACAGAATATTCTGAGGTCTGAGGTCGTGGCGACCCCAGACATCAAGTAGTATGGGGGGGGCGAGTGCAGGTGCAGCCAGACCGGCGACCAATCAGCGGAGCCGGTAGCGATCAACAGGTAGTTTGGCGGTTTGAGTCTGAACAGGTGTCTCTGGCTGCATACGTTTTGCTCGCTGGCAAACCTTGCTGGTGTTGTTGTCGTTGTTGGACATTTCTTCCCTAGTAGTTTTATATAGTTTGTTGCGACGTATTTGTAGAGGGAAGAGCAGGCTCAATCTCTTGAAGGAGATTATTGTCACAATATATATATATATATATATATATATATATATATATATATATATATATATATATATATATATATAATATAGATATATAGATGTATATATGTCAGCCTAGTGTTTTAGATATATTTGAGAGGGTTTGAAAATATTCAAGTAGCGATGTTTACGGCGGCAGTTTACCTTGGCCGTGTTCGTCTGAAATTATTGTTTAGTATCAGTGCTATTGTAATGCTTATTGCAGCAATAATGTTTATTGTGGGTTAAGTGTAAAGTGTTACAAAATATGAAGGTGTTAGAGTAACAGCATGGTTAACCATCGGTGATGCGTGATGTCATCGATGTTTACTCGATGTTTAGCTAATTCATTCACTTGAATCATCAGAAGTATGAGACTTGTCCTATCAACTAGGTGACCTTTGACTGTTTAGTTATAGAAATGTTTACATTTGGCACTATGTAATGCCACAATTTAGTGGCAAGCTTAGGTTATGGACGAGGTTAGGCATAATAGGAATTTAAAATAGCCTATGTTTATTTACATAGGTAATTTGCATACAGAGAGTTAGTGATTACTTAAAAAAGTTACTGAGGCGGCCTGCTGTATGCATATTTAATATCTTGCATAGCCTCATTACCAGGAGGCTATGTAACGTATCATTTAAATATGAGAATGTTCTGTATTATGTTTAGTTCTTATACAATTTTATGATATTTGCATATCAGAATTTAGTGCTTAATGTAATATGATGCGCAAATCAAGGTAGGCCACTGTACAGTTATATACAGGAATTAGGAGTGGACGGAGAATGTTTTGTGATCTATAGTTCGTTGTGTGACTTTGCCTATGAGGTCCAAGGATTTCGGAACTAATAAATATGCAAGACCTAAATTCTGCCTATGGGGTCCAAAGATTTCGGAACTAATTAATATGCAAGACCTGAATTCGAACACGCCAACGATGACGTCACTGCCCAAAACGCCATGTCCACTACAGTCACCTAAGTTTTCATTACCCTATCACCTGACATAATTTTGTATGCATAGTTTATTGGTCATTCACTCCACTTTTCTTCTACTCTTATTTCTATGACATAATTTTTGTATGCAGCTGACTTTCAGTGTTATAAATTAGATGTTTCCTCATGTCTTGTCCTACCTCACTTGTAGGTTCAAAACGCCGTGCAAATTCTAATAAGTATAATGCGCTATACAGTTTGTTTATGTTCTTTTCGTCAACTTTGAACAAATATGACATTTGGAGAAATCCTCTTCCGATTAAACCAAGGTACAAGATCTTTATTTAGAGGGATAGAAGCCTTAAACTGGAAGATAATCAACACGAAATATGCAGTCATATTCAATGAAACACACACACACACACACTGATCCTACAGTACTAACTGGTCAACATTTTAATTTTCGTGACCTATTTTATATGTACAAAAGCCAAATGAGCGTAACGTTTTCTTGGATGTTTTACTTCACAGGGGCAGTGTTTCCTCCCTGGCGTATGTGCAAATGATCAGATGAAGTTTACCAAGAAAATATCGAAACGAATCTTCGTAATCGTTGTTGTTACGCTAGCAATGTTTGGCTTCATGATTGGTGCAACCATCACTATGCAACCAGTCCCCAGATCGCCTGAAGGCGACGGTGGAGTATGCACAGACATATTTGAAATTGGCGAAAGGGCGGAAAATATGTCGAGCATGATGGAGTTGGCCGTCAGGGTGATCAGGAAGATGAAGATGTTTGCTCCTTTTACATTCTATGAGATTGTGAGTTACGAGATGCCATCAATGGTTCGCGAGGTGGCCGACGGCTCCGGCCTCAACCACTCCAACGTCACACTCACTCAGGTCAGTGCCCCCCCCCCTTCGCTCCACCTACATGAATACCCTCGCTCAGGTCAGTGCCCCCCCCCCCCCAGTGCCCCCCCCTCCACCTACATGAATACCCTCGCTCAGGTCAGTGCCCCCCCTCTCCACCTACATGAATACCCTTGCTCAGGTCAGTGCCTCCCCTCACCACCTTCGCTCAGGTCAGTGCCCCCCCCCTCCACCTACATGAATACCCTCCACCTACATGAATACCCTTCCTCTGGTCAGTGCCTCCCCTCACCACCACCACCCTCGCTCAGGTCAGTGCCTCCCCTCACCACCACCCTCGCTCAGGTCAGTGCCTCCCCTCACCACCACCCTTGCTCAGGTCAGTGCCTCCCCTCACTACCACCCTCGCTCAGGTCAGTGCCTCCCCTCACCACCTTCGCTCAGGTCAGTGCCTCCCCTCACCACCACCACCCTCGCTCAGGTCAGTGCCTCCCCTCACCACCTTCGCTCAGATCAGTGCCCCCCCCCCCCCCACCTACATGAATACCCTCGCTCAGGTCAGTGCCTCCCCTCACCACCACCACCCTCGCTCAGGTCAGTGCCTCCCCTCACCACCACCACCCTCGCTCAGGTCAGTGCCTCCCCCTCACCACCTACATGAATACCCTCGCTCAGGTCAGTGCCTCCCCTCACCACCACCCCCTCGCTCAGGTCAGTGCCTCCCCTCACCACCACCCTCGCTCAGGTCAGTGCCTCCCCTCACCACCACCACCCTCGCTCAGGTCAGTGCCTCCCCTCACCACCACCACCCTCGCTCAGGTCAACAGAAACACGCATATAATGTTCCTGCAATATCAATATACTTATGTTGCATCAACATTCGAAAGGTCATTTCGTATCCTTTATTCAGACATGGAGACTTCAGCAGACGAAGGGTCAGCTGCCTCACCTGGCATGCCGCTTGCGGGAATTGCGGGACGAGGATATCCGCATCTGTGTTCAGAGGCGGCGGGAAACGGTAGGCTCCACTCACATTGCCTACGTGGGGGACTCCCGTGTGAGGCAACATGTTGAGGTGCTTCTCGACCACATCCGACACCTCCAGCCCAAACTCACGACCCATCTGGTAAGGCCCCACATCTTGCCTAACTTGCCTAACCTTCCCAATACAAGCATAATTCTTGTGAAATCAGAGTGGAAAACTGTTGTAAAAACATGAGAATTTTCCCACGTTTCACGGTAGCTTGAATTTAGCGTGTAATGTCCAATAGGCCCAGAGGCAAAATCCCAACACTAGCAGTTCTGTATACATATCGGGAGGAAATCTACAGCAAAGAAAAAGGTGATGAAACGGGCTTGAGTGACGGGGTGAACAAGAGCACCTAACCAACAGAAGACAGTAGCATTGAGAACAAAGACGCTGTGGTGATATATTACTAGTGGGGTCCCTCAGGGATCAGTACTAGGTCATGTTTACTACCTGATGTATGTAGATAAGCTCCCGGAAGCGGTCCATAGAATTACCCAAATCAGCCAAAATCGGCCCAAAACTACACAAATCGTCCTAGCATTACGTAAATAATGAAGAAATATGGTATATTTACTTACTATAATGTTGGTGCTACACGTAGAACATGATCAAACCTATTTTTACTCTGAAATAATCTAATTTCATAACGAAATGAGACGTAAATATGCGAGAGGTGACGCCATAGGAAGTCGACGGTCCAAGCGACAATTGTGTGGAGCGACTTATCCAAGATATATGGTCGTCTGGAGAGTGTTTGCTGCCATATCAGCCTCCTGTACACAGTGATCCAGTCCTTTTCGTTCATTGAACACCGAACCCTACACGCCCTCTGATATATTGCTTAATTAACAAATATTCACAAATAAAGATTATATTTGTATATGTTATCAGAAAGGCAGATATAAAATAGTTTTTGTGAATCCATCACAGAGATTATACCTTATTAGAGAGGAAAAATATTCATACTTTAAACAAGGCTTCATGGCCGACGCTCTCCTTACCGATATGGGAACTATGACCTTCCGAAGATCAATGTTAATTTAATCTAGATATTGTAATAAACGAAGTTTTCTATGTCATCATAAAGACATAAATATAAGCTGCATGTTAATACTTTGGCATAAATATAACTGAAGTGAAAGTGAAGATATATGCCTTTTTATAGTTACTTGATGGCTCGCTCAGGGAGTGTGAAGGCCTCCACACAAGCCAATCAATTTTATAATTACTTTGCATATATGCAAAGTAACGCCATAGGTCTTTATGTCAGAATAAAGACATGTAGACGATAATGTAACTACATTTCAAGGAAAACATATCTTAATATAATTATTAAATGAATGCAAAGTTATGGTTAAATAAATAGCCAATACCACACAATCGCCGGTGTCCGGACACATGAATAGTCGCATTAGGTGAAAGGAAATGTACCCAACCATTTCCATTTACCCAACCAGTTTGTGCACCCTATACTCATCCTCTGTGCGGTAATTTATTGTGCACCCCATACTCATCTTGTTACCAGTAGTTTGTGCAACCCATACTCATCCTGTGACCCGTAATTTATTGTGCATCCCATACTCATCCTGTTACCGGTAGTTTGTGCAGCCCATACCCATCCTGTGACCTGTAATTTATTGTGCAACCCATACTTATCCTGTGACCTGTAGTTTATTGTGCAGCTAATACTCATCCTGTGAGTCATAGGACATTGCGCAACCCTTTCTCATCGTGTGAATCTTTGTTTACTTTGCTCTCCATATTCATCCTCTGCGCGATAGTTTCTTGTGCAACCCATACCCATGATGTGAGTGGTAGTTTATTGTGTACCCTATACTCATCCTGTGAGTATAGGGTACACAATTCTTGTTTGGATTCTTGTAATGTTATTTGTCTATTTGTACTCACAGCATTTGTGCGCCCCTTGAGGGACTTGAATTAGAGGGGGGTTGAAATAGCCTAAGCTACTCTATCCCTTTGAGATGTATTTATTGCTTATCTCAATAAACATACTTGAACTTGAACTTGGGTACACGATGAGTTCATTTGTACTCCATACTCATCATCAAGAAGTGTATTTTACCAGCATTGTAATATAAATTAAGAATAAAAGCTTAACTGGATTACGGACCCATAATCAAAATAAGAGCCATCACTAATTATCATGACAAATTGTCTAGGCTACACTTCCGCCTTCGACAAGCTGCCGCCGGAGGTGGGTATAGTTTATTGTACACCCCCGCACCCCCAGTCCTGGAAGGGCGGGCATTGGGATGTGGACATGTGTACTGTCTCAGACCCTGTTGGAATATAACCAGTCTGTCAATCGGGTCAACCCAAGTGTTGCGTTTCCAAAAGGGTCGCCCATGTTGGAATCGGTGAACGCCCTAGTAATATTGTTGAAAACATCTTAATAACTTATTAAACCAAAGGTCTTTTTATGTCAGAAGAACGGCAGAAACTAGATCTATATATGAAAACTCTTTCAGGACAAAATTTAAAGTAAAACTAGATTATGTAAAACTAGATTAAAGTAAATTTATGTTTCTATCTTTCTTGAGACGTATAAAAATCTTACGTTTATTAACGATTCTGCGTGAAATAAGCATTGTTCTGAGATGAATATTGCGGATTTCCGGCTCTACGACCGATGAAAAATGCAACTTTTATACAACTACAAATATTTTTAGTTTTACTTTAAATTTTGTCCTGAAAGAGTTTTCATATATAGATCTAATTTCTGCCGTTCTTCTGACATAAAAAGACCTTTGGTTTAATAAGTTATTAAGATGTTTTCAACAATATTACTAGGGCGTTCACCGATTGCAACATGGGCGACCCTTTTGGAAACGCAACACTTGGGTTGACCCGATTGACAGACTGGTAATATTCCAACAGGGTCTGAGACATTTGCACTGGCGGGCGGCGTTCTTGCCAACTATATGGCTGTTAAGTTGAAAATTGTAACTGTTAAGAGCATTCTATTGTGGTTTTAATATTGAACAATTATACATATACGAAACAGACAAATCTGGTGTCCGAAATAGTAAAAATATTAGTGTGCGATGTGATCAATGTAAGGGGGATATTGGGTGTGCCTCGTATCCCCTACAACAACAAGAAGTTCGAGAGCGATGAGGCCGCCACCTACTAGCTTCAGGATGTCGTCGAATCTAAATCAACAATATACTATTGCCGCTCTTTCTCGGAAGCGTAAGTACCTGCCGCTTTACTTCTCTCACCCTGCCTAACCTGGCCTGGCCTGGCCTGGCCTAGCCAGACCTGACCTGGCCTAGCTTTACCTAGCCTAGCCTTACCTAGCCTAGTCTGACCTGACCTGGCCTAGCCTTACCCAACACTAATCACCACACGTGACAGCCCAAACGAATCGCAAATAAGTACACGTAACAAGTCATATGCCCGGACACTCTTTCACCTTGGGGACTGAGTGGTAACTATTGTATAGAAGAGCTGGCTCCCTGAGAGTGGTAAGAGGGCGTGATAAGAGGCTAACGTGTGGTCTTGAAGGAAGTCGATAAAGCAGACAATTTTCAAAAGGAAGGGCAGCATAACGAGCAGACAGGAATGGACAGACAGTCGGTTATCCCATAATGTGTAATACGCCCCGCACAGCATGGGTGGAGTGGGGGGGGGGGGGGTTGTAGCAGGGCACAGTATGGTGATGGTGCGGGTGAAGTACACACCCACTGAATTCCTGCCATCAATAATTGTTTTCATAACCATTAGAACAATGGCATCCCTCCAGCCACCATCCTTCCACTGACCCCCTCCTCTGGTCCTCCACCTCAGACAATAACCCCCCACACCCCCTCTCCCTTCCAGACATCAGCATGTCAAAATCAGTACCATAATGTGTTTAAACTATTTAAACTAAGTCATTGTGTATCTCAAGGTATCTTAATTCATTTGAAAGTGTACATGTGCATTCGTTCATATACTCGCCTAATTGTGCTTGCTGGGGTTGAGCTCTGGCTCTTTAGTTCCACCTCTCAACCGTCAATCAACAGGTGTACAGGTTTCTGAGCCTATTGGGCTCTATCATATCTACACTTGAACCTGTGTATGGAGTCAGCCTCCACCACATCACTTACTAATGCATTCCATTAGATATAATCATATATGATTACACATAATCATAATCATTCCATACACATAATCATATGTGTACGTCAACGTATACATACATGCGTATATATACCTCATATAAAATACTGATAAACGAATGACCATGAACAAATTAATTTATAATTGTAGCATTATATATAATTTTAATAGACTAATTACGTGTTTATACATTTGAATGGTCCAGACAGGTGGCCAGCCTTGGACATATACACTTCTGGTAGGCACAATGACCTCATGTTAGACCCTTGATAGATTATGTGAGAGAGAGAGAGAGCTGGGGCAGGGAGGTGCGTGCCCCAGGGAGATAATCCATGCCCATGCCCCGCCTCGAGGTCAGTTCTCGAGTCACACCAAGAATAACAATCGAGCAAGTTGTCCTGACCAGGATGTGGCATATTAGGGAGGGTTGAGGAATAGGAAGCCTGTCTGATAGGGCTCTTGGCAAGCAGCTCTCCCTCAGTCTACCTATCTATATGGAAGAAATGTATCTAGGCCCTCCTCCCCCCTGCCTATTCTCTCTCCCCCACCTTTCTTCCTTCATTTCCTCCCTCCTTCCCTCCCCCTCACTGGTGAGAGAGTAGGAGTGTGAGAGTGGTTAGAGAACTCGTAGTTCTCACGCTCGTGAAATTGTCTGCGACCCTGGAGGAGTAGAGCGGAGGGGGGGGGTGAAAGTAGGTGACGATGGAGGAGTAGAGGGGAGCATTATATGCAGTGAACGTAGGTGTCTATGGAAGAGTACATCATAGAGGAGGGTGAAAGGAAGGTGACGATGGAGGAGGAGAAGGGAGGGGGTGTGAAGGTAGGTGATGATGGAGGAGTAGAGGGGAGGAGGGGGGCAAAGGTAGGTGTCTATGGAAGAGTACATCATAGAGGGGGGTGAAGGTAGGTGGCGATGGAGTAGAGCAAAAGGGGTGGGGGTTGAAAGTAATCCTGAGTTTAATTTTTTAGTTATATATAGTGACACCTCGGCTTACGAATGAATATTTATGAACTTTTCGGGTTACGAGCCTAATTTCTTCAAAAAATTTGAATCGGGTTACAAACTTTGCCTCGGGAAAGGAGTTTGTTGATATACGTATGGGCTGACCTAGCGCGTGGTGGCATGGTGATCGCGCCTCAGTTTACCAGTGTCTCCTGCCTAGTAAGCATCGCGCCTGAATTCTTTGTAAAGCATTACATTTGTTTTGGGATTTTTGGCTATTTGAACATAAAATTTGTTATGATATATCTTGCCATGAGTCCCAAGAAAGCCAGTGGTAAGGTTCAAGCCAAGAAAACACATGTGAGAATGACCATAGAGGAAAAACAAGAGAGCATTCATAAACATCAAAATGGTGCACAGGTTGTTGAACTAGCTAGGCAGTACAACAAATCTATGTCAACAATAT